GCCGTCTGCACTGCAGCCGCCTCGTGCTCGCGGACATGCTGACACCACCGATAATACACCACAATTATACGATTTGTACTATTTATTTGCCTATTGCACATTCAGTTTACACATGACTCATTGTTATGTGTTCGAACTGTAAGATACGAGTATGATACTAATTTAGAATTTTGTTCTAATACTGATTGCGAAACACAAGTTATAAAGACCAAGAAATAATCCCTTCAGCACTTTGTTGTTCAGTTTTTATTGCGTGGCCTATTTTACACACAAAGACAATGCGATCAACTTGTTTTTCTCCAATTAATGTTAAAAAGCTTTTAAACTCTCTGGACGTAGAAGAGATTACCTCAGCCTCCGTCGCTATTAACTTTCTTAAGGGTCTGTGAGACAAACGGTTGGCGTAGTCCTTGAGAGGCGCGAGGGAGGGCCGGGCTGGAATTAAAACTAATTTTCTTCGACACGGTAAGTAGCACGTGCCTTATTTCACCTTTACAAAAAATAGAGACTCTTGTCGAAACGCATCTTGAATACATAACATTTTGTTATGCCGTTTCCAAAATAAATAACTTAGAAGACATTTTGTGTTCTTGTCTATTTGATCAGAATTATCATATTTATTGAATTAACTTAAAATTACAATTAATACCGGTGGCATCGGCGGAGGGTTGTGCAGCAGCAGAGTGTCGCAGGTGCGCAGGGGAGGGGACAGCGTGTATGGCGGCTCGGGGGGCGCGGTGGGCGCAGGGGGCGCGGCAGCGCAGGCGCACCACGCCAGCGCCAGCGCCGCGCACCGCGCCGCCATCGCTCAGCGCGCGACCCTCCGCCGCTGTGCAACAACATTTACATTTAATACGTATAATTATGTACGGCAGATTGCTATTCTACAAAATAAATAAATATGTCAACTGTAGAATAAGAAAACATACACATTCTTTAATGTTTTTTACATAAGTAAAAGACACTTTTCCACAAAGCTAAGGTGTATTCATGATTATTTTCTTATTGAAGTAAACTGATATTATTCCATACATATTTTTTTTGGATGACAGTGGAACATGTAGTCGCAAAAAAGTAAAACAATTGAATGAAAAGTCTACTTATTTCTCTACGTTAAAACTTGTCCAGCATTCGATGGGTATTGGATTTTATAACCATTTACTAATAGGAAAGAGTTCACAAAGATATTCTATGCCTTCTTGAGCTTATATTTCCGGGCGTTGTTGTCGTGTCGAAAAAAAAACAAGATAAATTTGATATGGAAAAAACACACATCGAGATAAAACGTTGATCGATTTAAAAGTTATTTGTAAATTTAAACTCAAATATCAAGAGCGATATGCGAATCTTAACACTGTATCTTACAATGTCGATAGCCGTCTCTCGATAGACTGTATATAAACATCAAACCATTTTTCATACTCGTGTCGCTCCATACACCTTGAAGATAGTATGTAAAAATGGGAATTTTTAGCAATACTGTTGTCATGTGAGTAATATTTTTTTTTAATCAACAGCCTATAAGATATGACTCTCTAAAAATACAACTACATGGTAATTTATATACAAAATGTTACATAAATATCACAAAAAGTAGATAATTAGAGTAAAAATAGTAATAATGTAAGAACATTTTTGCGATCTTTCTTTAAGATCGAAGTTTTACTTGATTTCATTTTTGTACAATATTCCAGTTTTACTTTCCTATGTTACTCGACATACGAATGCAAAAGTCACGGCATCAGACACGATGTAAGAAAATTTCCTGATGGATTTCTTTTTGGAACTGCGACAGCTTCTTACCAAGTGGAAGGAGCGTGGGACGAGGATGGTAACCATATATTAATATGTATCCCTTAAAATAGATTGGCGAGCCATTCCTTAAATTTCTTTTTTTTTTTGTTTAGGCAAGGCTGAAAATATCTGGGATCACCTGACCCACAATAACCCTTGCATCATCAAGGATTGTTCAAATGGGGATATTGCCGATGATTCCTATCATCTTTATGAAAGAGATGTCGAAATGATGCGAGAATTAGGTCTAGATTTCTATAGGTTCTCTCTATCCTGGCCAAGAATTTTACCTACAAGTTTCCCGGACAAGATAAACGAGGCGGGCGTGCAGTATTACAACAATTTGATCGATGAAATGTTGAAGTATAATATACAGCCGATGATAACTCTGTATCATTGGGATCTGCCTCAGAAGTTGCAGGAAATGGGCGGCTGGGCTAATCCTCATATTGTAGATTGGTTCGGTGACTACGCGAGAACAGTCTTCCAACTATTCGGTGACAGAGTTAAATATTGGATTACAATAAATGAGCCGTACCAAGTGTGCAACCAGGGCTATGGTGATGTTATAAAAGCGCCGGTCCTTAACAGCAAGGGCGTAGCTGAGTACATGTGCGCTAAGAATTTGCTCCTCGCCCACGCTCGAGCATATCACATCTATGACGAAGAGTTCAGACCTAATCAAGACGGTGCTATATTCATCTCATTCAGCGCGCAATGGTATGAACCGGAAACTGATGACGATATTGAGGCTGCTAACGACAACAATGACTTCCAGGTAAATCTTTTAAGTTACGATTCGAAAGATTATATAATTTTTTCCTGGTACAAAATTGTACCTTATACTACTCCATTCTTGTAATATTGATTTACTTTTTCCAGTGGGGACAGTATACTCATCCTGTCTTCTCCGAGGCAGGGGACTTCCCACCGTCTATGAGGAAGAGGATAGCTGCAAAGAGCGAAGAGCAGGGCTATCCTAGGTCCAGACTGCCGGAGTTTACTCCCGAGGAAATTGATTACGTTCGTGGCAGTTCCGACTACTTCGGTCTCAACCACTACTCTACATTAATAGTTTACAGGAATGAATCTGTTTACGGTTACCACGATGTTCCGTCATACGCTGATGACTTAGAGGTCCTAACATACCAGAAGGCAGAATGGAAGATTGGTCAATCTGAATTTACCAAGGTATGCATACGAAAAGTTACAAACTGTACCAATTATGTGATTATCTATATATTAATACATCTAATATTATTAATACATCAAATCTAATTTAAGATCATTCTTTAATTTCTCAATATTCGCAGTGCGTACCATGGGGCTTCCAAAAGCTTTTGACAAGAATAAGAGAGGAATACAACAATCCTCCTGTTTATATAACTGAGAATGGTTTTGCTACATACGGTGGCTTGGATGACGACGACCGTGTGACTTACTACAAGGAATACATAAACGCAATGCTAAACGCTATTGAAGAAGGATCCGATGTCAGGGCTTACACCGCTTGGAGTCTCATGGACAACTTCGAATGGATGCAGGGATACACGTAAGTATTAATAATGATATCACGAAGCATAGAAAGCTTAAGAAAAACAAAAGGTTCTTTAATATATTGTACTGTACATATAAAATATTCTATTCTAGTGAGCGCTTCGGTCTGTATGAGGTGGATTACGAGAATGCGAAACGCACACGCACGCCACGCAAGTCCGCCTTCGTGTACAAGCAGATTCTACGCACGCGGGAGCTCGACATGCACTATGAGCCTTACACCGACGTCATGACTATCGACGAGGGAAATTAGACACTGTAAAACTCTTTAAAAAATGTAATATCATATTGTAATAAATTAAATACAATACAAGCTAAACCCGTTATACGTTTCTATTTCAAAGGTCTCAATAATAAAAGTTACAACCCCATATATGGTACTTATAACTTTTATTCCTTTCTTACTTTACTTTTAAGAAGAGAAGAAACCATCTGCAGATTTTTAAGTATATAACAATTACCAAAATGTTATCAATCCAAAGATTTTCAAGCAAACACGATTTCTATTTAAAATTAAGCAATAATATAAAGATAATATTTTGCTTTTAAACAGTTATTACATACGTGTTTTAGTTAATGATTATGTGTTTTCTATTTAATTTTTGTTCAAAATAAACAAAGAGTGCACTTTTGCTGTACTGGCGAAGTATCGGATACTTTGTTCAATGAGATTTAACATTTCATAGATTGCATTTCCCAGATTAATGGCTAAAATGTGCCATTTATAAATATTCCTTATCATGTTAATTTAAAATTCTCGTGCCTTAAATCTTTGATGCAAATGAAATAGTAGTATTTATTCCGTTTCGTAATTAATTTGCTAAACTCATATTTCAAAACAAACGACAGTGGCGCACCGCATTTCACTTAAACAAGCTTTTAATGAACTCTCAGCGAAACAATTTCGCTTGACGTTGTGGAAATGAATAATCAAAGATAAAAGTAAATATTACATTATTAAATAATATACAGTAAATCAGGGGTCAGGGCGTCGGTGGCTCAGGGGTTCGAACCCCATCATGTACCAATGTGATTTTCGAATTTCATATGTACATAATTTACCCGACGTTCTTACGGTGAAATTTAAAAATATGAGTGAAAACAACCAACCCGCAGTGGGCCAGCGTCGTTGACTATGGCTTACTTAGGGTAGACTCTGGCCCCCTCAGTAGGGACATATCGTTAATCTATGTAATAAATTGCACCAGAAGATATAACTTTTTTTTTTAAATGAAGACCATAAAAACTTAGTATTTCAACCACATTTTATTTTAAATACGTATACAAAAACCCTTTACGCACCGTGAAGAACGCTCGATAAAGATTTTTGAAAAATCATGGTCGGAGAATCCTTATTGCATCTACACTTACGAGATGTGATCTTGGCCACTAAATAACACGTAAGTTTTTTCTAAATGGGAAGGGGAAGGGTAAATTTCTATGTTTAAGCTTTGAAAATGTGTAAGTGAAATTTATAAACATTTTAACAACTGCAATTTTTTAATCACCTCGTGGTAATTAAATTCCTCGACAAAAAATAAAGTTGATGCTTGAGAATATAAACATCAAATACGATAACGTTGTGAGGGAATAAATAATATAACGTGTCAAGATAACGATAAGGGTGTCAATGAAACATTGCTGAGGCGCTATAAATAAGAGTTGTAACAGTTACAGAGAAAAGACGCATGATGTGGGTGAGGTGGCCATTGCTGTTAATACTCTTTTATTAATTTATGGGAAAATATAGTACAAAACTATTTAACATTTACTGATTGAATATTTTTTAATAATTTAAAAAGAGGAATCATTTCAGTGACTGTGTTTATTCATAATTTTGAAATATCGCAAAGTAGGAAATCAAAGAACATTAGTAATTTGAGGTTACACAATAACGAGTCAATTTTAATTTTCAGTTTCGTCGTGAGTTCGTTGATCGTAAAAGGCGAGTGTAAATTTATTAATAATGTTCGGCATGATGTAAGAAAATTCCCCGATGGCTTTCTTTTCGGCACCGCAACCGCCTCCTACCAAGTGGAAGGAGCTTGGGATGAAGATGGTAAGAAATGTACAAAATTATTACCTTCAAGAATCCTAAAAAATAGTAAAACTTCTTATTATCCCTATTTAATTATATATTTGTCTTGACATTTTGTATTACGTAAAAAGAATGAAACTATTTCAGGAAAAACTGAAAACATATGGGATCATGCAACTCATACAAACCCATGCGTTATAAAGGACTGCTCAAATGGCGATATAGCTGACGATTCTTATCGCCAATATAAGAGAGATGTACAGATGATGAGGGAGCTGGGCCTTGACTATTACAGATTTTCACTCTCGTGGCCACGAATTTTACCAACCAGTTTTCCCGACAAGATAAATGAAGCGGGGGTTCAATATTACAACAATTTGATTGATGAAATGCTCAAATACAATATCACGCCAATGATAACGCTATACCATTGGGATTTACCGCAAAAACTACAAGAAATGGGTGGGTGGACAAACCCAGAAATAGTACACTGGTTTGGAGATTATGCTAGAATTGCTTTCCAATTGTTTGGTGATAGGGTTTCAGATTGGATCACAATCAATGAACCCCATCAAGTGTGTTACCATGGTTATGGGGACAACACAATGGCTCCTCTTCTGAACATTAAAGGTGTAGCTGATTACATGTGTGCTAAAAACTTATTATTAGCTCATGCTAAGGCTTATCACATCTATGATAAAGAGTTCCGTCCGTCGCATGGTGGTAAAATTTTCATAGCACTGAGCGCGCAGTGGTACGATGCGGAACATGAAGAATTTGTAGATGCTGCTAAAGAAGCTAATGATTTCACGGTAATTAATCTTACTTTAGATCTAATATAACGTAATAATTAATTAAAGTAAACTAACTGTAAATGTCGAGAAATATCTAAACTTAACTTTATTTTTAGTGGGCAATATATTCACATCCAATATTTTCGGAAACCGGTGATTTCCCACCGGTTGTTAAAGAGTACGTCGCTCAAAAGAGTGCGGAACAAGGATTTTATAGATCAAGGCTGCCAGAATTTACAGAAGAAGAAATTGACTATGTGCGCGGCACGTCAGATTGTTTCGGTCTCAATCATTACTTGACGTACTACGTATATCGCAATGAATCTGTAGTCGATTATTATGAATCACCATCATTTGATGACGACATGGGAGTAATAACGTATGTCTATGATGAATGGCAAATTGGCGAATCTCAGTACACGAAGGTAGGTGTTTCAAAATATTTCTCTAAAATTTTATAGCTTGTGTTGAACGGTTACTTTCCCCGTCTGGGGCTCTGGAGGTGTGGGGCTATTGAAACACTTTCTTCTAGTTAATCATCATTATATTTAAAATATCTGAACCATATTTTATACAAAGTCTATTAGTCCTACAATGTTACTTGTTCTGTGTCGAGATGTGAAGTCAAAATATATAAAAACATCAAATATAGAATTATTTATAATTTAGAATATATTATTCTAATATTAAAAAAACCATCCTCAGTGTGTACAGTGTTGCCTGCCAGTATACAAACATATAAAAACTCCAACAGCTTGTTTCAATTGTTATTTTTAATATCATGTTATTTTCATAGTTTGTTCCATGGGGATTTTACAAGTTACTGACAAGAATACGCGAGGATTATGGCAATCCTCCTGTCATTATTACGGAAAATGGATTTGCCACACTTGGAGGCTTAAATGACGATGACCGCATCACCTACTATAGGCATTACATCAGCGCTATGCTAGATGCTATGGAGGAAGGATCAGACGTGCGAGGTTACACGGCGTGGAGTCTTATGGATAACTTCGAATGGCTGGCTGGATATACGTATGTTTAAATTTTTTACTTGATTATAATAATATTACATCACAATTTTATACAGTTTTTTGTTGCCGTCTTATTATATTTGAGACTAATTATGCGTAAAAAAATTAATAATATGAAACTTTTCAATCACAGTGAGCGTTTCGGTCTGTACGAGGTGGACTACGAGAGCGCGGAACGCACACGCACGCCGCGCAAATCTGCCTTCGTGTACAAGCAGATTGTACGCACACGGGAACTTGACATGCACTACGAGCCCGACACCGACGTCATGACCATCGACGAGGGACACTAATTTAGATAAACGAGTAAAATAAATTTAAAAATCAATCTCTTGTTTTTTCTCGCATGATGTAACTGAATAATTTTTAATAATAAAGGCCACTAACTTAAAACAGTTGGAGAATATGAAGCGTATTAATAAAAACAATCGGGGTACTACAGTTTTAGGAATGCGAGGCAGTCATTGTAACAAAAAAAAAAACTTAAGTACTTTTTATGCCCTAAATAAATCTATCAGTAGAACAATTGTTTTTTGCCAATGTAACCGTGAGTACATTCTCGGCCTTTGTTTTGAGTGTCAAGCCCGCTTTATTATCTTTAACATTGAAAATTAATTATGTATTTGTATTAAGTATTAATTACCATAATGTTAATGGTAATTATGTTAGAAAGAATAAATTGTGGCAAGTTTTCTGATAAAACTAATATAACCATGACATAAAAGGTGAGAAAACCCACTCACCTTAAGTATTCATAATAAAATATTTACATTTACATATTTGTTAGGAACATAATGAATCCTGCCAAAGCTGCTTGAAAGCCATCTTACTTTTAGAAAGAAATCAGTTTATTAAAAAAAAATGAAAAGGAATTCATTCGGCATGTGCTCGGTGTACACCGAAGCGCCGGTTTTCAATGATTCCTAAAAACAGAACACGCAGTTTTACAAAATAGTAGAAGAAAAAAAAAACATGTAGTAAATGTTACTTTTACTAATATTTATTACAAATGCGACAGTTTATATGGATAGATGGGTGTTTGTTACCACAATGTATATGCAGAACGGCTCAAAGGATCTCGCCGAAATTCGCATATATGTAGAACATAGTTTGGAAGAATACCAAGGTTAATAAATAAGTTTCTTTTTTATTTATACCCGGATGGAGTCGTGGAGAACAGCTGGTTTTTATGAAACTTTTATATTCCGACCGTAGTACTAAAAGTAAAATGAACTAACACTATTTTAACTATAATATCAATGGATATTTAGAGGAGACCTCTGAAAACTATCGTATATCTGTTATCGTACGATTGTCGCTTGTTTCAAAGCCCATTAAATAGGTTAGTTGCACAACTAAAAATCGAATAGTGTGCGCAAGTTCATATAAGCTTACGGCAATCCAAGCGCTACTAAAAAGTTGTGCGATAGATTAGTGAATGGTGTGCTTCCTCGCTTACTACCAAAGCTTTAATTACAACTACTATTTTCATACCGTCCCTTCATTTTAAGTGCACATGACCGCAGTTGAACAATCAAAATACTTGAGATAATTTAATACTTCAACAAGATGTTTTGCGATCTATTCTGCCACCGTAAAGTACACAAATAAGTTTATCAACCATGATATCGGAAATTTTTATACATATCCCCTTATGAAGGCATTATAAATGATCGCCTCAATCGCATAAGATAATAAAAAATTGATGAATAATCCAATTTGGATGATGCCTATGTATTTGCTCGTATTTTTTCTGTAAGAAGGTGAAATCTATTAATAAGTGATCTCCGTCAACCAACACTCATGTGTATGTGTTGACAGTAGATTAATTTTTCAAATTGAAGCAGTGATTTTTTTTTGTGTCAACTCTTTATCCATATAATATCCACTAAGGGCATCTCTTACTCTAGATTTAGTATAGATCTAGAAGTTGCTTAAATAACTGAATAACGATTCTGCTTACTGCAGTTAGAAAGGTCGATTACTTCTGTGCAGACAGGAATTTTTATCGACTCTCCTATAAAGTATATAGTTACATACATAGTGTATGATTACATAATTCAATAAGATAAGTTAAATTGAAAAGATGTTCTAACTAAATGGGATAATATATAAAGAATGATATAACCACTTCTAGATAAAATTGATCCCCAACAGAGCCCAGTAATAGTGAATGCTGATAACTCCGCGGACCTAAAACTCGTCAAGATAATGATAAACTTGTCATTTTTTGTATAGCGAAACTTGTAACCTATAAATACAGTTTGAAACATGACATTCCAATAGTGAGGCATCACAATGTGGTCGTTACAACGAATTCTGTAAGAAGAGTATTATGAAAATTAACTTAACAATTATCATACACAAAAATAACAATTATGATGCCATGAAAAAGGGTTATTTTTAGTATCACTACACAAGTATTACAAGATTTATTTATTGTGTATTTGTATTTCAGATTTTTCGTGATTGCATCAATAGTAGTAGCTGAGTGTAAGACCATTAAGAAAGCTCGACATGAAGTAAGGAAATTCCCGGAAAACTTTCGTTTTGGTACCGCCACCGCTTCTTACCAAGTTGAAGGAGCATGGGACGAAGATGGTAATAATACGATAATCAATTTATGTAATGTATTCACAATTTTTGTAACTGTATCAAAAAGACCGTTTTGAATCATATTTACAGGCAAATCCGAGAACATTTGGGATCACCTTACCCACACGAACCCATGTGTTGTGAAGGATTGTTCAAATGGTGACATCGCAGACAATTCTTATCACCAATATAAGAGAGATGTGGAGATGATGCGGGAGCTGGGATTAGACTTTTATAGATTCTCACTTTCATGGACCAGAATTTTACCAACTAGCTTTCCAGACAAAATAAACGAAGCTGGAGTTCAATATTATAATAATTTGATTGATGAAATGCTAAAATACAATATTAAACCAATGGTTACGCTGTATCATTGGGACTTGCCGCAAAAACTGCAGGAGATGGGTGGATGGGCCAACCCTAATATCATTGACTGGTACTCAGACTACGCACGTGTTGCTTTTGAGTTATTTGGTGATAGAGTGAAAGATTGGATTACGATCAATGAGCCTCTGCAGGTATGCTACTATGGATATGGAGACAAGTCGCTGGCACCTCTTCTAAACATTAAGGGCGTAGCAGATTATATGTGTACGAAAAACTTGTTGCTAGCTCATGCTAAGGCATATCACATTTACGATGAAGAGTTCCGCCCGACTCAAGGCGGCTCGATTTTCATTTCTCTAAGCGCTCAATGGCATGATACGGAACATGAAGATTTTGCCGATGCTGCTAAAGATGCTAACGAATTTACGGTTGGTTTTGTTTTTGGTTTTTTTTTTCTCTTTTTTGCGCGTATGTTTTTATTTATAATAAAAAAAAAAGTAGTAACAGTCCTCAATTTCAGGTAATGCTAAGAAGCAAGATTTTAGTACGCGTTAGCTTAGAATCAATATCTCTTTAATTATAGGAATTCTCTTAATTGAAAGATTTTTAAAAATGTAAGTTTTTTTTAGTGGGGCATTTATGCGAACCCTATCTTTTCGGAATCCGGCAATTTTCCCGAAATTATGAAAAAACGTGTGGCAGCTAAGAGCAGTGAACAAGGATTTTATAGATCGAGGCTGCCGGAATTTACTCAAGAAGAAATTGATTATATTCGAGGCTCATCTGATTACTTCGGCCTCAATCATTACTCAACGAAATACGTATATAGAAATGAATCTGTGGTAGGTTACCACGAGACACCATCATTCTATGATGACATGGAACTTGTAACTTATACCAAAAATGAATGGAAAATAGGTGAATCGGAGTTTACTAAAGTGAGTATATTAGTTATTGCCATTTTACAAAACATAGAACGTTTTAAGGTATTTGAGGAAAAAAAATGTCTAGATTAAGTCAAATATTTCTAATTAATTTTTGCTTATAGTTTGTACCGTGGGGATTCTACAATCTGTTAACCGAAATCAAAGAGGCTTACGGTAATCCCCCCGTTGTTATCACGGAAAATGGATTCGCTACTTACGGAGGCTTGGATGACGAGGACCGCATCACTTACTACACGCACTATATCGACGCCATGCTTGATGCTATGGAGGATGGCTCCGACGTCCGTGGTTACACGGCTTGGAGTTTAATGGATAATTACGAATGGCTGCAAGGATATACGTAAGTAGTCGTAAAAGCATTTTAAGAACAGGATAAAAGATCTCAAAAACGTTTATATAATCACGTTCTATTAACAAGGAGAATTTGACAAATGTAAACATTAAAATGTAGTTTATTTAATTTCTTGCGGATGAATCCGCACGGGAACAGCTAGTAATAAATAAATCTTTGTTTAAATATCTTCTGTAAATGATTTGATTTGATTTTGATTTTGTTTTAAGTGAGCGCTTCGGCCTGTACGAAGTGGACTACGAGAGCCCGGAACGCACGCGAACGCCGCGCAAGTCCGCCTTCGTGTACAAGCAGATTGTACGCACGCGGGCGCTCGACATGCACTACGAACCCGACATTGACGTCATGACTATCGACGAGGGTCACTGAGCTTTTGGAAAAATATACAATGACGGAATATAATACTCTGGTTTTATTTATTTAGAAGCGCGATAACTTCTATTGTAAATTGTTCCATAACAACCTCAAAATTTCCAAATGTATGGAAGACTGCTTTAGTTCGACCTCTGCCAAAAAACTCTGATCCTCGGGATATTTTCATATAATTTCATATAAGATCTTTCGATCTTCGCCCGATCAGTTTACTCCCGTGTCTATCGAAAGTCGCTGAGAAAGTCGTTTGGATTCAGCTAACAGACTATCTAGAAAATAACAACATACTTTCTGAATTCCAATCTGGCTTTAGGAAAGGTCATAGTACCACTACTGCGCTGTTAGATGTCACCGACAATATTATCTCCGCTCGGGATGAAGGCATGTGCACGTTGCTGGTACTTCTAGATTTTTCGAGGGCTTTTGACTGCATAGACATATCCCTGCTTCTTTCAAAGATGTCATATTACGGTTTCACGTCTGATACAGTGCAGTGGTTTCAAAGCTTCCTCACAAACCGCGGTCAATGTGTTGAAATAACTAGGGACAATGGTCAGACACAACGTTCGGAATATAGAACCCTGCAAAGAGGTACCCCGCAGAGAGCTATTCTCTCTCCTCTTCTTTTTATCTTATACACATCGGATATCATAAAATATATTGAAAATTGTAAATACCACCTTTACGCCGATGATTTACAAATCTATATTTCATTTAGGAGTGGCGAGTGGGCCTCGGCCGTACAGGCCCTTAACCAAGACCTTGACCGAATACGATGCTGGTCAGAGAATAATTGTCTCGTTCTCAATCCCTTTAAGTCAAAATATATAATTTTTGGATCTCAATATCAGATTAACAACATCCCACCAGACTGTCAGGTAACGTTGAGATCCGAAGTAGTTGAACGGGTTTATGAGGCCAGAAACTTAGGATTGGTGCTTGAACCAAACTTGCGCTACGAAAAACATTTATCGGGAGTAATACGTAGCTGCTTTTACATATTAAAAGTGCTTTACAAAGTTCGGCGATACCTTAGTGAGAGGTTGCGTATACAGCTTGTCGAGGCTTTGGTACTATCGAAATTAAATTATTCAGACACTGTGTACGGGCCGTGTTTATATGCTAGAACTGA